CCTTCTCCTTCTCCTTCTCCTTCTCCTTCTCCTTCTCCTTCTCCTTCTCCTTCTCCTTCTCCTTCTCCTTCAAATCAGGAGAAGGGATTTCTTTCCTGTTATGCAGAATTATCCTCTTTGCTGTACCCAGGCTTGACAGAGCCAAACATCTTCCTGAGACTAATTCAACATCACATTGACATTCTTAATTATAATATTTCTTCCCAAAATTATTTTAACATATGTATTGATTTGAAATCAATACAGTGTTAGAACAGGACCAAATCACGTGAGTTAAAGAACCTTCATTTCTTCCATCACCAATAGAAGAAGTCTAATGTCCATACCTTTTAAAACATTATTTGGGGTGGAGTCCAATAGACCTGGGAGTCATCCTAATTTTCCAACAAATATCTTTGTGGAAAATTAGGATATTTGAAAACAAATATCTTCTTCCCAAATATCCTGTTAGGGGCTGGTTTCCCACTGGCAACGGATCAATGTACAGGTGTTATTCTATTCTACTCCCTAACCCAGATAGAAAGTATACCTCCTTTGAAATATGGATCATAAACATGTGTGTGGAAAGGAAGAAGAAAAACTGAGCAACAGAAAGGGTGGACTGGAGAGGTTTCAGCCCATTCCAATTTGGAACCAGCCTTCTTCAAATGATGTTGAGATTCATGCGTTTTGGGTTGTTGTTGGTTTTTCCTGCCTTAGTTCTTTGGATTTGCTTGGTCGTGGCATTTCCTACAGGCATAATGCAGATGCTTCGGCAGATGTTGCTGCAAAGAATGTAAGCAAGTTCTGTGCTTTATTGCGAGCTGATGTTGCCACTTGCCAGCCCGTTAAGAATTCTCTCTTCCTTTGGCCCTATTCTTCATGGAGCGAACACAGGATAATTAGCCTGAACTCTAAATGCTGTGAATAGGAGACTTGGTAGTTTCAGTGCTTTTGGGGAACACTGCCTTTCATTTTAAGCTGCTTTCTGACTAACTGAAAGGAGCATCTTGTAGCAAAGTGTACAATTAGGTAACCATTCAAGATTTCAAATGAGGCACACGCTTTGAAAAGCAGCTGCTTATAATGCTCTTTTTTTTAAAAAAAAAAATTCTTTATGTGGCTCCTGCCTGGGGATGACTAATCAGTTAGATCGGCGTGCAAATTTGTCATTTATCAGAGCAGACCCAGCTTGCATACAAAAATCATGCGTTTGTTTTTAAATCATTGTGTGATTATTCTCAAAAGGAATCTTTTTCAGTGCCTTCAGGTTTGTCAAGGGCTGTAATTAATCACAAAGGTCGTTTGGGTTGGGCCAGGTTTTTAGAATTAAATATACTATTTGTTTAGAGGATTGGAAGTTGGTAACCTAGATTCCCAAGTCAACAAGTTGCTTAGAACAAGGGTCACATTTCAAACTGAGCAAGGACTAATCGACTTCCACAGAAACCTAGACAATCAAAGACTTCATCAAGCACAAGAGACCTTTAGCTGAATTTCAAAAGCCCACTGCAAATAATTAGTTCTGACTCCTGACAAGAAAATCCACAGCAAAGGGGGAGGAGAAATACAGATATCTGGAATTTATCTTAATTATGAGGAAGATGTAAGGATATAAACCTAGGAAAGTGGGAACCACTTTTCAAACCACTCTGGAGTCATTATCTAAATATTTAGCAAGTGTCTCCCACACAGGAAAAAGATGGCCAAAACTCCATTGACTCAAAATTGTGTGAGGAAGATACCCAGGATTTATACTGGGGCTGAGATGTTTATATATAGTCCTGTGTTCTGCTATGGAGAAGGCAGATCTTCTGAACACATAGGCCTTCTTTCTTATTTGCAATAAAACAACTATCCAGCAGTGTTGAGTCGACTGTTAGCTAGTTCCTAAATGTGGGACTGAGGTTTATGAAGAGATTTATAGCCCTGCTGACTTTGAAGTCTGACAGTAGCCAAGAAGTATGTTTGAGTGCTCACTCTTTCCCTGGACAGCCATCTTTATTTGCTTCCATACTTCAGTAAAATCCCAACATCCTTCATTTTCTTTGTCTCTCTTTGATGTCCCTTTTCTTTTCTTCTCCATTTCCCCATTGTTCCATTTCTCTGTTTGACACCCTTTTCTCTCTCTTTCCCAAGCAGCAAATTTAGGATAAAGATCAGGTATCTCCTACCTGAAGTCTTCTACCTGAAGCTACAGAGCCTT